GAGATTAAAAGGTAGAGCATAATCTTCAAGATTGCACATATGTTCTTTTAATGTACATGAAACAAGATTCTTTAAGCGCCTTATTTTATAGTCACTTTTTAATAATCAAACCTCCACTAGCAAGTCTCAGAACCTCCATCTAATACAAATCTGGTTTGTTATAATGCTGTAACCAGATGCTGGATGCTTATTTCATTCATTTACATAAAGGTGTAAATCACTGTATTCTGTTTTTAATTATATTTTAGGCAGTTTCACAAATGTTATGGAAACGGGAAGGGTATTTGTGAATGTAAGGAGTCGCTGAGGTCTGCTTTCTGTTGGCAATCCAGCTACAGTAGATTAGAGTTAAGTGGGGACTCTAAATTGGTGATAAGTGTGAAAGTGACTGGCTACATTAGAGCTGTGATAAAGTGAGGGCATATGTGGGGTGTTCCCCTGTCTCACACTCTAAGCATTCTGGCATAGTCTCTAACCCACCATGGCCAGAAATAGAATTAAGATATATGCATAGAAGCAATAATACATTAATTATTCAAAAAATCTTAAATCCAAAAACTTCGAATATTTATCACGGCCTACCTTGAATGTACTGTATGTCACTGAATGTAGAAGCACCATCAGACATCAGTGGAGGGCTTTTACTAAGCTCTTTATTCTAGCTGCAGCATCATCAGAGAGGAGACACCACAGAAGTGTTGGTCGCTATCTGTGAGACATGCCAGAACTGGTAGTCACTCTTCGATAGCCGCACCACTCACTTTTGCCGAGAGGACTTTGATTTCCTTGCCAGGCTCCTGGGCTCTCCTCGTCTATCTCCCAGCACTCAGCAGCACTGGCAGGGGAGCACACTGTACAGACAACCCTTGTGGGAGCAAACAGGGTCGTAACTCTATGATAGCAGGGGAGAGGAAGCAGAAGGCACTGCAGGGACGGGGGCTGGGTGCTCTGGTGTTTAGAAGACGGGTGGTACAGTGTTGGCAAGTGTGTGTCAGGTATATTAGTATTAGTTGGTCTGACCTTTAGTCTGGCTGACTGGCGCTGATGCATGATTAACAAACATCAATTTTCCTTTAAATTTCAGATGGAAAGAAGTAAACCCTCCGAGGCTTCTTTAATAATCTGCATGTCAACCTCTAAGTGGCAAACTCACACAATAAGTGTGAAGTCTATTCAATTCCCCCTTTGGAGACCATCTGTCTCAACACTGCAGGGAAAACTGTGGCTTTTGAAATGGCACTCCAAAAATGTCTGAGCAAGGACGTCAAGAAGTGGAAACTTTTGGGATTTCTGTGCTTGAGAGTTTTTGAAGGTTTTCAAAATGGTTTAGATTACTCATTTAGAATTTTAGAATATTTTGTCTGCAAAAAAATATGAAAAAGTAAGACACAAATTCATTATTTTATTTACATACTTACTTTAAACAACTGAATATTTTATGATTCTTCAGTTTGATCACATACAACTCTTCTGTGCCCACTAATCATACAATTTGACTTAAATATATTTCCACCTTCCATGTGCTGGATGTCTGTTGCAGCTGACTTTGCATTTTTGGCCTTGCTCCCTGCTGTTTTTATGGAGCGCTGTGTGTAAAAATTCATCCTGCAGCAAAAACAAAACGAGGCATATTGGCATACTGATGATACAATCACATTGAAAATGTATCAGTGAATCACATGGCACAAACTCAGTGTGTTTAATCATATAGACATGGATTGGATAATGTGCTGCAGTTCAAAGTGAGCAACAGAATGATGAAGAAAGGTGCTTTATGAGACTTATTTGGATAATATTGGCTTGTTGATGCCAGATTTCAGAAGAAAAAGGTCAAACTGCTTCATAAGAAGTAAAAAATAACTCAAGTGCCCACTACAACCAAAGTATGTAGAAGAGCATATCTGAACAAACAACACATCAAACTCTGAAGCTGATGGGCCACAGCAGCAGAAGACTACACTGTGCAGCACTCCTGTTAGTATAATTCACCATGTCCCAGAGCTCATCTCAAACTGGTTTCTTTAACCTGACAGTAGGTTCATTGTACTCAAATGGTCTATAAAGTCACAGGATCTCAATCCAATACAGCGTTTTGGGGTGTGGTGGGACAGCAGATTCACATCATTGACTTGTTGCTCACAAATCTGCAGCAACTGTGTGATGCTAGTTCGTCAATATGGACCAAAATCACTGAGGAATGTTGTGAACACCTGTGCATGAAGAATGAAAGCAGTTCTGAAAGAAAAAGGGGTGCAGCCTCAGCAAAGTCTACCAAATACAGTAGCCAGTGAGTGTATACCATAGCTTGGATTTAGGTACCATAGCATAAAGTAATGATACTATATAATGTTCTATAATTTTGGTTGTTGGAGGCTTGGGTAATTTTTTTGGTGGTGAAGGGGAAATCATTTTGTGTTAGTATCTTGTCCAAGTACGTTTGCCAGTGATTACTTACATTACACGCTCCCTTGATCCTTTGCAACCTTTAGCTCGTGGAACCAAGAATGCACACAACTGAGACTTCAACTCTAATTGACATTGACCTGTTAACATTATTGTTGTCTATGATTAATTACAATAATTACATTGCATAATGAGACTTGTTATTCCTGTCCCAGGTGTTTATCTAGATCAGAGACTTGCAGGGAAAGGTCACGTAGAACAGCTGGGTAAGCTTTCCTTACCAACTGCTTAAGTCCCTCTTAGGAGATCCCCACACGAGCTGTGAGAGCATTTATATTAAACACAGTCTTCTAATGTATATTTGTATCAGAAACACATTTGTAGTTCAGTGGAAGTCAAACACTGTAGATGGAAAAACAATATATTAGACAGGTAGCATTTATTGATGTTAATGAATCTGCCTTTTAATCGAGACTACCAAAGGGGAGCACACCTCAGCACAAGCATTGTGTGGAATAAATCCTTCATGCTGAATGATATCTTGCATAATTAAATAAATATTTGCACAAGTAAATGAGCCTCTTCCAGCCCATGGTCAAAACGCTCAGAATGCCACCAAAACCACAAGTAAGCTGAAGTCTAATATTCACTATATGACTGAGCAAAAGATTTTTGATGATCGCTTTCTGTTTTCTAGAAGGTTTTCTGCTAAATCAGCTAGAAAAGCAGAATAAGATGGATATTAAATCTGTTAAAACACGTAGGTGATAACCTTTATTTGAATTGTAAATAATAACTTTACTTTCAACGTAAAGTTTTTGTTACAGGATCTTCTAGACAGATTTCTTGGTAAAAACGTTAAGATCCCTGTACATGCGAGATGCGTCTGTGGTAATTTGGTACATGCCTACTTCCACATACAACCTGGATTCATCATGAATTTTTCAGACCAACATGTAGCCAGCAAGGTAGGTGGAAGTGCAGCAGGAATCAATAACCCCAAGGTTCATGTAAATTATTGATACTTCCCAAATGCTCAGAAGGAAAGGATTAGGTTGAGTGGCGCAAAAAGGACTAATAAACATCACATTTCTGAAGAGAAATCTTAACCAGTTGTGTTTTTAAAATAAAAGCTACAGAGAGAGAGAAACTAGAGAAAGGCGTTTAAATTTGCAGAAAAAGTATTGCAGTGTTTTAGATGTAAAATTCAATAACAGCTCTGATAAATGAAAAAATACCTTCAAGACCTACAGCGAGCAGAGACAATCATCTGCTTTTACTGTATTAAGAAGCTCTGAATCTATTATAACGCAAAATTATTGACTCTTTGCATGTTTGTGCTTTTCTAACATGCTAATCTAAAATAAATCACCTAAACATGAGGCAGTGGAATCATACTGTAGTCAAATACAATTTATTGGTTTAACTCTGTAGTGGGATATATGTAACAGTGACGTTTGCATTCTGAGGAGCTCGCATTTTTACAGCCACACACAAAGAATATAGTATATGTATGTGGAAACTACCATATTTGCTAGGCACTAGGTATGCACAGTACATGTTAGGACACATGACAACTGCAGAGTGGCTCAATAAAAGAAATTCAGGTCCCTGACTCAGAAACGCCTGCACTGCACTGTTGATTTTTCTTAAAGTGACGGCTGGAGATTGTCGGCTTGCTTCGAGGGAGTTTCCCAGAAAAGAGGTTGTCTACATTTGTCTGTAGATTTAAGGTATTGATTGGCTGTAAGTATTGGCTTTGTACCGAGTCACTGTAATATGGAAGGTTGTTAGACTCACAAGTCAGGGATCTGACAACAAGGAAAGAAATAATAAATAGAAACCGAATCATGTCACACCAAATCCCATAAAACACAGAAACAGCCAGTATAAAATTTGCATCATATATTTTTACCTTCTAGTTGCTTATTGGTCAGTAAGAGTGAAATAATCCAAACTCGTTCGCATAATTGTACATCTATGATAATGTCGATGACACAAAATCATATCGTCGCTCGGTTGTTATGAACAGCCCTTGTATGTAAACATTTTAAACACCCTGAATCCCCACGCATTCCTCCTATTGATGACCTCAGAGAAATAAAAACTGGAATGGTAGATACTGTAGTTTAGCGTCAGAGCAGCACTGAAGCTAAGAAAAACGAGGCTCTATGAAGAAAGCACAAAAAGAAGCAAATACAGATGCTTCTGTTGCCGTTTCCACTGCCGTGTCTGAGCGTGCATGTGTGTGTAAGCACAGCTGACTTACCAAAGCCTTGAGCGTGTACTGAAAAAACCGAACAGCTGAGTTTTTGTAACATTTACATAACACTAAATATGTTTGTAAAGTTGCAGAAGAAGAAAAAGTGCATTTACAGGATTGAGGGGAGCACGCTATTGACTCATCAGGGGAAAAAATAACCCCAAAATGCGCTGGTAAAAGAACCAGGCTTTGCAAGTTGACTGGGGTGTGACATTACAAAACTAACTTAAAACGCAAACAGTAGAAGAAACCATGCAGACCTCACAGCAACTGGCACGTGAGTATATACAAACTCTGTGTGGTAACTGTAGAAAAACAAGCGATGCATCCTCTGTAATACAAACAGCTTTTCTCTCCTTTAATTATTATTTTCAAGTAATATCAGTTCATACCAGATGATAATATGCATTCTGTCAGAGATTACAAAGAGATTCTTTTTTTTCAAACATTTTCTTCATCTGTTTTTTTTTTTTTTTTAATAGCAGATCTACATTTACAGTAAACTAAGTTACATTAATTAATAGTCTGGTTTACATGATGCACACTATGTTTACACATAGAAATACCATGTCTGTCAAGTTAGTTTGAGTGGACAGTAAGCGCGGTTTAAACGTATCTGTTTTCAAAGACAGATGTTCAACAAATTCTCAGTAAAGTTTGGGAGCGCAGTCTAAAATATGAAATATTGCATCTTCGTTAACACCTCAAGGGCAGAACATCTTCTGCATACAGTGGTCATTCACTCCATTTCAAACAGTTATTGCTTCATGTGATAAACATCACTTTCAGACAATAGGACTGAATGAGTGTTGTCTGATTTTTATGCTAAATCACTGTGAGGTTTGCATACAAAAGAATTGCAATCGTTGGAACTTTGGTTTCACTATTTCCACACTTAATTAAAACATGGGGTTTATTTATAATTATTAAAACTGAGCTAGTAATATCTTGTGATATGAGTAAAGGTATTGACTCAGTCTGGTTTACTCTCTTTCTCTGTTACCCCATCATCCTTTACTGTGTGCTTTCCACTAGAGTAAAAATATCTAGAAACTAATTTAGTCACAAATGCATTTCCTGTCCTAACAGAGTGCCTCCAGGAAACAATGTGAAGTTCAGCAAAATACCATTCTCATAACAAGCCTCTATTAATTATTTTGGAGTAGCTAAATAGGTTCCACAGGGCATAATTTGGGGATAAAACAAAAGCACAACAGACCTCAAAAACACGATACAAAAATACTTATAAACCTTCAACTTTGTCCCATTCAGAACTCTCAAGGTGGATAACAACGCCTGAACTGAAACTAAACAAAATGAAAATGCAAAATGATCATAGGAGAGGAACTCATTATTGGCACTGTATAATGAAATCCAATTGAACGAGAACAATAACAGTCCAAACAGACCCGGGGGATTCCAATTTCCACACTCATTACCCAGTAATGGTTCAGGCATTAGTGAGATGAGGTGAATAGAATAGCAGGTCCAGGAGAAAAGGTTCCCTTCCTAATGCTTTTGGACACAAATTGCCAGTATTCCATGACCTCTTATTGAAGCCTTAATGACAGAGGCACACTGCAATATACATCCTGCAAAGTATCGGCACGGTCCTTGGCTGTGGACCAAAACCGTAGCATCAGCAGCGGCATTGAGCTTCGCGGGAGTTTCATTATCGGTGTGAATTGACTTTGGCGTAGTGACACATGGCCCAAACTGCAACTAAAGAAAAGTGAGATTAGGGGTTAGGAAAAGAATGAATTTACATTTTGATGAGGGAATTTACATTTTAACTATAAAATTTATTTTACTTGGCTGGCAGTGAATTACAATTTGTAAGGTTAAACAGAACATTTTCACAATTGTGGGATATTACCACTTACATGACTTTAGTCCATAAACCTGCACTCCAGGGGATGATGTGTGTGTTCGTCAAGCTCAGGTCCTCCATCAGAGGCCATATATATGTAATTAAAAGGAATTATATATTTACACGTCTTTATGATCTACTTAAAGCCGCATGAATCAGTTTGTAGCTACTTGAGGGCAAAAGTCTGACGTCACTTACCTTAGAAAGTTGCTCACATGAGCAGTATTACACTACATATTATTGCATCACAGTTCTTTTTTACTGGGATGCTGGTTAACTCTGTTTTGGTCTCAACAAGGTCATTAAAACATTATTCAACAGCTTGTTGCTGAATTTGTCTCTGTTGTTGCTGCTGTGCAGGTCATTTCAATATTAATCATTTGCTGGAAAAAGACTGAACAGTACAACAAACTTGCAGGTGTTAAAAAAACACCTGATTAGAGTCAGTGCTAATTTAAAGTATAGTGATTAATGCAGCTTTAAATAAAACAAACAGGCAGACATATACTGTAGAAATCAGTGGCTTGGCTTGAAGAAACAATACAATCGTAATTTCAGCATTGAGGATATAACTGTCTGTGATCTGGGACTTATTTATCTGAGTTAAGGGCTATCAGATCTTATTAGTCTGATTTTAAAAAGTCAAAGTAGACTGCTTTTAGACTGTATACTTTGAAATATCATCATTAATATTGTGTAGTCTTGTTCTTATAAATTTGGCCTTTTGCAGCCAACCTACTGAGAAAATCTGCTCAAATATAGCAATAAGATCCCACTAAAGTGCCAACTTCTGATACTTTAAGCACATCCCTGAATCTCTTTAACTCTCATCCAACCCCAAGTTTGCATAAAATGAGGTGAAGGAAGTGGTAGTGAAGCAAATCTCCCATGTGTTGTGGATTATGTTGTGAATTAAAAACACTACTGTACCATTACCAATCTGTGCAACTAGTACTTCTGTGAGTAGAAACATCTGAGTGCTGCAATTTTAAAAGTCACCATACCGACTTTATTATATTAGAATGGTCGCCTATCAGATCCTCCCTGCTGCATCTCATTCGACATTCATACGATCGGATAGTCAAACTGGAATAAAGAGAAGAGGAACTGTAGGAGAGATAACAGAAATCTCCCCATGTTCCTGTAGTCAAGATCCTTGTTGAGTCACTCTCCAAGTGTTTTTAATCAGGTTCACAAGTTTGAGGATAGCCTGGATTTGACTTTGATGTGGTCTGTCTCAGGAAGGCTCACTAAAGAGTCCTTCTTGGGGAGTCCCGATTCTCCCAGACCAGTTCCCACTCCTCCTACTGCTACCCCTGCAACAGGTGCAAAACCATGAACAGAACCAGGGAGGGATGCTACAGGAAAGGCCCCAACAGACATCTGGTGTGGGAGAACCACCCTGTGTGGTATGCCGCTCCGGATGCCTGTGTGACCCAGTGGGGTGTGAGGGGGCTCGATGGAAGTAGAAGAGACTCGTGTAGATTGGGGTGGACTAGGGACAGCTGGTTGTCCCATCTCGTGAGGCAGTGAAGGCTGAGAAGCTGACAGTGCCCTGGCATCTTGGCTCAGACTTCCCATTTGCAAAGAATGGGTGCTCTTATGTGTGCTGGGCCTGTGCACGGGGCTGGCTATGTGCTGCTGGACTAGAGAAAGCTGTGAGCCTGAGGTGGGACCAGCCAGGGCACTGGATCCATACTGGAATGATCGCCCACCGACTGCTAGTGGGCTTTGGACAGGGGGGCTGGACAGGACCGGAGGAAAGGCACCAGAAACAAGGAGTTGAGACTGAAGTGGAGAGGCTGAGACAGGGCTCGATACACTTTGCATCACCTGAAATCTCCTCATCATCCTGGGAGACTGCAGGTTACCCAATCCCACAGAGTTTCCTTGCATCGGGGCACAAAAATTCATGGCTACAGCCTGCTGGAGAGTGGCAACTGCTGAATTGTGGGCAGAGGAACTTGGAGGCGTAAAGATCCCACCGGTCAGTGGAGGCGTCATGGACATGGCCCGTGGGCGTGGCAGATCCACCTGTTGAACCATCTCCCGATCATATTTAACTATCTCCTGGATCATCTCGTTCTCACGATTGTTGAAAACACCTGAGTTGAGATCATGCTGAACTTTGTGCATCAGGATCGAGTTCTTCTTGCCTGTAAAGACATGGAAAAAGGAAGAAGTGTTGCTATAGCAAACAGAAACAATGCAAAAAATTAAAGCAAAAACAAAACAGACTTTAATGCTATATTTCCATACCCTACAATTTGTTAATAATATGCTAAACAGAAAAAAGCTTAATTTACACATATATACTGATATAAACAAATATACTGCCTGTATCCATTTTTTGCAAACAAGCAATCCAAGACTGATGGACACGCAGACACAGAAACACCCTCTGCCTACTGTAGGGTAATGCAGAGGTGCAGGCAACCATTATTTCTGCAGTGACCTCAGTGCATATGATGTAAGAGGGAGCATTTCACTGACAATATATTAGCCCTACAGGAGAAAACACTATTTACTTCAACGTATTTCTAACGTATATGTGCAGCTAATTGACGGCTATTGCAACTGTTAATTTAACAGGTTATCAGTAAACAGCACCAACTGATGCCTTTATTGCTAAATTTGATGATTGCAAGCATCATAAACTGCAAACGAGAGATTAGTGAAACCATCTGAGGAAAAGGTCTGTGTCCCAGTTTATATGGCATGGGGAGTCTCGCCTTGTGTTTGCTGGCAGATGCTAACAGACCACATCCAAATCAGGAAGCCAACCTCTGATTTTTATGTGAAAAAAAAGAGAGAACCTGAGCTGCCAGCAAAGCACTGAATCCAGCCTTGCCAGCTCAAAGCACAGCTGGATCCAATGCTGGATGAGTGGCCCCAATTTCAGAAGCAGTTGCACAGCCGACTTGAGGCTTTTCCCCATCATCATCTCAGCTGTGAGTGCGGTGGCCAAAAACACGCACTTGAACAAGTGATGTGTGATCTATTTTCTTAGCAGAAGCATACACTTGGTGAAGTAAAAAAACAGTCACGTGATGAATCCGACACTAAAAACTGCAATTTGTCCAAGGAAAGAAAAATACAGTATATGCACTCTGATCTACAGTAACATGGAATGCACAGGGCATGAATCAATGAGTTAGAAACCATCCCAGCATGCACCAGTTCATTCCTTAATTCAGTTGTGTGTTATAAATTCATGTGGTGGTCATAATGCTTTAAAATATCAAGCTGGTTTATGTGATCTCAGACTGTAAATGACTCACAGAAATGCACTGCTTCTTATAGCAAAACCTCTTGAAAGCACTCAAAAGTAAAACAGTAAACCAGCTGGGATTATAAAGGCAGATTTGTACGAGGCATTATGATGTATGCCACTGAGGAGTGAACTGCAGAAGCCCACTTAGTCCTGAAAAAACTGTCTGCACAGATAAAACTAAGACAGAGTAATTCAGGTGAAAGCAGGTGTGCATTTCAGCTGAGGGCCATCCTGGGTCACAGTAGTACTGCAGAGAAGAGAATAATGGGATCGCACAAGTTCAAACCCACTGCTGTCAGGCAAGTAAGATGACTGTGTTAGAGACTATTGTGTATGATACCTGCTGAGTGCCTTCCCTCTGATGTGAGGCCCAGATAGGCTGATAGTCAGTAAACAGGCTCTCTCTCTCTAACACTAATAGCTATTCACTCTAACCAGTGGCTTACATGTGAGGAGAAGGCAACTAACGGTGAGATCAGGTGAACAAATCCTCAATATGTCAGATTTCAAGGAGAAAAGTAGAAGGTTCATTGCAGGTGAGCATTAGATACTGTTTAAAACAGGAGGCAATGAAGTATGAGAAAAAAAGATGGACACTGTGATGTGTTGCTGCAGGGATTGGACATGTTGAGACCAAAGACAAGATGTTGGCAGCCTTCCTAGCAAAATCCAGATGACCCAACATCTGTTGTGCCCTGGTAACAAAAAGGGACTCACAGCAAAGCACAGCATGTAGAGAGGTTTGTGTGTTCATATGGAAACTGTAGTATTGTCAGCTCGATTCACCAGTGCGGATGGCAGCCTGGAAAGCTGACTTCAGAGCTAGGTTATTTGTAAGTGCAAAGCCTGAGATCTACTGTACATCACAAACAAAGATTATTATTCTACCACAACCAGCTGCTAAGCCAGAAGGAGAACATGAGGGGAAGGCTGATGATGATTTGGTGACTTGTGCTTCACCAGCATGATACATTTGCTGCATGTGTGGAATAAAAACACTCACAGCTTGGGAGTTTAATAGTGGAATTACAGTGTGATTATGAAAATCTGCACTAGAGTGTGCAAACACATCTATACAGGTTGATCATATTTAAACGTCAGCAGTTTTGCTTGATTCTGTGTATCAAGCAAGATTTTCCCACAGATGGGATTCTCCTGATAATGCCAACAATCAGAAAAGGGGGACACGCTGTAACATGTGTGGCCCTGGAAATGTATGATTCAATTTAGCTTTTATATAGACACACAAAAAATCAGAAGGCTTGGAGAAAATTAATCAAAAGTGTGGGTGTTCCTGGTAAGTACTGTTGCTTCATTCCAGCTCTGTGTTGAACTCCTCCTCCTCCCACTGACTTTTATGGGGATTTTATCTGCTGATAACACAGAGCTACTCTCTGAGGTGTTTGGAGGCTTGGAAAGAGGAGACAAAGGAATGCATATTTGTTGGCTTGCATCCTTGGAAATTCTCTTAGGGAAAACAGCAGTTGGAGAACTGACATTAAAAGTACATTTACATCAACTACTTACATTCCAGTCAGAACCTCATAGATCGTAGAATTCCTCCACAGACAGTAATGTACTTATTCTAAGACAGCAATTTAAGTGCAACATTACATTGGAAAAAGACCCATAGAAGAGTTGTGTATTCCACAGTACTTGTAATCAGTTGCCAAATCAAAAAAAAATTCAATGGATTCACCAGGGAACCACCAATTTGTCTAAGTCACAAGGAGGTTGCTACCATGTTTTTTCTCTAGTGTGACTGAGCCATTGAGAGATGGAATTTCTCATAGATATGGTGGTGTTTCTTGTCATACATCCTCCTTGGGTGCTTGTAAACTGGCCATGCTGTAATGCCAGGCTCTGCTCATCAAATGTGCATCATAAATAGCAGCGATGGATGACAATAAAAAGAGGAAAAGGCATACAACCATCTGATTGCATCCTCTAAAGTGCAAACTTGGTTGGGGATTATCATGCTTTTGAAGAAGTTGGCACTGCAAGTTGGACCACCCTCATCTGCAGAATTCAGAGATAAAGCACGGATAATACGTCACTGTTTCCACAGCAATACTAGAGATGGACCGATCCGATATTACGTATCGGTATCGGTCCGATACTGACCTAAATTACTGGATCGGATATCGGAGAAAAATAAAAAATGTAATCCGATCCATTAAATATCACGAAAGCACCTCACAAAACTTGCAACACGCTGTAACTCACCTCAGAACGTATGCATCACGTGATAGAGCAGCTGTGGCATGCAGGACCTGTGGGTGGTCTGGATAGCATGTGGAGCTTCGCTAGCAACCTGGCATTTCATCTCCGACAAAGTTATCCCCGAGAGAAGTAAAGCAAGTGTGTAAGTCCATCTCTGAATGTTTGTAAAGCATTCCCACGTTAAGCTTAACAAGCGACTGCCTCTCGCTCTCCGGCTGCTACTTCAATCGTGAAACTGCTTAAATCAGCTGATCGGCTTTTCTGTCGCGAGTCCGCCTCACTTGTTTGTTTTTGGTCCACTTTGCGCCAGAAAGAGCAAACCAGCGGCTGAACAACAGCAGCACGTTTAAGCTTGATAAGCTGTTGTTAGAATTTATTTAATATTAATTTCTACTCCAGGATCTTTTTACGTAGCTGACGCTGGTAACTGTGCAGGGGCGGATCTAGCAAAGTTTAGCCAGGGGGGCCGATAGGGCATTAACTGGGAAAAGGGGGCACAAAGACATACTTTTCTTTCTTATTCTCATTTAAAATGTCTAGCTTTTAATAAATAATTATCTGACACCCAAAGTTTTAATTTGATGTAAAATGAATAGAAGTCAATTACTGTACATAGTGACTATTAAGTCTAATATATATACCCTAGTAAGCTATAGTACTTTTTACTTTGGGAAGGTACATCTGTGCAGTCTGCAATTTTGTTGAAGAAAGATGTTGAATCTATTTAATATTTCTTGAAAAATAATTGATTTCTGTGCATTTTTTTTTCACACTGCATCAAATTAAGGTTGATTACGTCGATTAAGTATCATGAGGTGGCGCGTGAGGGGTGGTTCCCTATTTTTTATTTATTTAATTTTGTTGTTGCTGGGAGTTGGAACCCTATTAGTTAGGTTGCTTAATATTTACGCTAAGTACTCTTTAAAATACCAGAATAGGGAGGATGGTGTAGGTCTAAGTTTATTAGATTGATCAGTATTGCTGAACTATGAAATATTTTTTTGTATACAGGTATAACAGAATAGCTTTAGTGTAGTTGTTGTTTTAAACTTGAGTATGAACTTGCAGACTTGCAAAATGCAGCAAGATATTTAAAAAACAGTTTTGTTGATTAAAAACACTATATCGGATTCATATCGGTATCGGCAGATATCCAAATTTATGATATCGGTATCGGTATCGGACATAAAAAAGTGGTATCGTGCCATCTCTAAGCAATACCATTGCCAAGTAACACCTAGAGTTTCTTTTACTAGCCATTGATTAGTAGAGAATAATGACACATACACAGAAGGTCACACAAGTGTCTCTATGTCCATTAATGGCCTACACAGGTCAAACACTGTTGTCATTAAAATGCACGGATGGCTGAATCAGCATTCCTCATTCAAACTTCTAGTCATAAATGCCCTCACAGAAAACAATACATAACTACTGAAGACAATTAAGCTTAAAGATTTATTTAATCATGAAAGCTATTTAACCAACAAAGCATGTGTCTTTTATTTAGACTCTTATGTTCTTAAGGCACCTTTTTATAGATCTCTGTGTCTTTGATCCACTTGTTTTCTTCTGAGAAAGACTGTTGAGAAAGCCAATTAAAAGAGCTCATCATTAGTGACTAGTATGCATCAAGTATGCACGGAACCCGGTGGGAATGTTTGATTGGAGGTTTGGTCTTGAAGCAGACAATCCAAGCCTCTCTTTAAATATGTGAGTTGCCTGACTGAAGTCTGCTCATGTGTGGAAACTGGCTGCTATGGCAACAGCTGGCAGGTGGCAGATTCAGGGCCTCGTGAACATATGAGGTGTGGTCATGTGATGAGGGATGTAACATTAGCTGACCTTGGGGGGCATGACGGGAGACGGAAAGTTGTTTTTAATGTGAAGGAAAATATAAACTGTCAATCAGCATTCATGAGCACATCTTTGTGTGTTTTTGTTTAATATTTGTTTTATATACATTCACTCCAGACTGAGGCTACTGAACAATCGCTGGAAAAAAAATCTGAATTATGCATTTCAAGTAAAGTAAAAGTTTTAACTGGCTTTGCTTTTCTTCCCAAAATGGCAAATATCTACCAAAAGAGTTAAACTGCACTAAAACAACTGAGCTTAAGGAACCTAATAACATACAAAGATACATATTCACCTTTGATTTCTTTCCTGAGCCGTACACACAGCCCTTGTTAGGATCATTCATAGACTACATCCCAGCTGTCAGACCGTGCAGTGTTTTGACAGAGACATCACAGTAATGAATGAGTATGTTTTCCTTATGCTTCATTTCATCTTGTGAATGACTCATAAGCTTATGAAGACAGCAATGCGCGTGGCTTTTATCACTGAGGCATAATTATCCAAAACTAAATCTCTGTTCATATCTCTGTTCATAAATCATGTCAGAATAAATACATTTTTACTGTTTATTGTTCTTTCGCACATTTTTTCTCTTTTCTTTATTGTAGCCTAGCATGTTTCTGCATAAATTTAAGAGACGATATTGGACTGAGGAGCCTGAGTGCTGCAGTACTGCACAAAAGCCTTACAACACCCTTAATTTATTTAAATTTTGCTTCCAAAAAACTGACCTTTTTGCATTTTTAAAAGTGGTCTTTGAATACTTATTCTCTACCGTTTCTAAAGGTCTTTTTCATTTTCTATCATTTTCAGTCTTGTCCATGTACCTGACCATTTTCAGAGGATTGTTCTTTTTTGGTTTGCTGAACCATTTAACACTGAATCATTCGAGCATAAAAGGCCTCCTAACTCAAGTAGCAGCTTAGCAAAGAACCCGTTTTAAATTATATCTTTAGACATTGTGTTATCAGCAGCCGTTCACAAAAACACATAATTTGTTCCAAATTCTTAACAAGGTGATTCCCCAAGAGCTATGAGCTGAAAGCTTTGATTGGTGTGCAGTATGTTCTTAAAAAAATTGAGAAAAGTGGACAAATGGAGGACAAAAAAAGGAAGAAGTGGTAAGCCTTAAAAAGCTATCTACAACAGATGAATAGTATCTGAAAGCTGTGGTCTTAAATATCTTTTTAATCTTTTGGCTTTTGTTTTAAATTTCTAAACTTTTAATCACATCATAGTAAAACACCTACAGGAGACTACCCAAATCTATATTGAACATAATGGCAGTCTTCTTACCTATCCTGTCCAATCTGTCAATGGCAACTGTCTCAAAAGCCCTCCTCATCATGGGGTACTCCTCCAGCACCTCATTGAAATTGTCCACAGAGAGAGAATACAGGCGACAGTAGGTGTCCGCACGCACACTGGCTGTCCGTCTGCCACGGGTCAGCAGGCAGATCTCTGGAGGGGTGAGAGATACGGTCAGAACAGAAAATGGCAAACCCACAGATTTCAGTGCGTTAGACAGCAATAGAGAAAAGAAGAGAAGAGGTCTGTTAAGCAGTGCGACGCTCAGCCAAAACACTGTTACAGTACATTAAATGTTAAAATGTTCTATTATGTTTCCGCACAGGCTGTGGAAAACTCCTGGGCTTAAGAAAATGTGTGCTCAGAACAAAGGCTGTGTGTCATCAGCATGACCCGCTGAATGTAACCCTAGGTATTTCCTCATTCACTAGCACTACACTGACAGCAGTGTATAGCATATATAGAGATGTGCTCCATTGCATTCAGTTGTTTCCCTTCCCTTCTTTAGTATCTTCTTCTCTATTACTTTTTCCTTTTATTGGCTGGAGCTGACTGTTGTCTTGACAACCATATTCCCTCCTTTTCCGTTCCCTGAAAGGTTGACCTCCTCTGACTCTCTGGGGAAGGGGGAAGGGGATGTGGGGGCACCAGGATACTCCATTAAGAGCAGGCACTGCACTGGACTGTTCCTGTCTGTTTATATGAGGTTTCTCACAAACTCAGAGCAATCCAAGGAAGTCGCACTTTATTTTATTTTATCTACTTTCTAATGTCACAAAGTTAGTTATATTTCCATGTGTATCTGTTAAATCCACTACCAGACAGCAATAACATCTGTGTTTACACCCCTGTAGAAAAATAGTTTTGGTGTCTACGATGAGTAATTTTTAAAAATTATATATTTTTTGTTACCCGTCAGTTTGGGAAGTCTTAAAGCTTACAGTAACAGGTGTGGCAGACACAGGTAACTGTAGCTGATACCTGTCTGCTAGTTGAATGAAATTCAAGTATTTTAATACTTTGTTATTGAGGACTAATTAGCACATATATGTGTATATACACATTTTTATAATATATACAGTCCATTAGATTCTCCGTTAGCATAAGCTTCTTTTCATACCGGCTGACTCTCTCTGCAAGAAAGTTTTTCCACCAAACAAAGGTACTGATGTAAGGCTACACATACATGCACTTACACATTTCTAGACAAGCGACCTATAGTGTGCAATAGAGTGCATTCATATTAATTCACTGACATCATATTAAAGCAACTGCTAGTGATTACCAGCAGTTGCTTGAAATCCACTTTTGTTAGAATTGTAGGAAAAGGCATCATGTTCAGAAAGCTCTCTTGAAATTGGAATATCCCTGTTTACACAAAACGCAGCCATTTAGATACTGGTAGCATCAATAGTGTCTACTGGGAAGTGCAGACAGAGGATAATAATACCAATGAAATTGCTGCCACTGAATTAAAAGGGTTTCCAAACCACTGGGTGACCATTTGTGGCTTGTAGACGGGGAACTGCCATCCTTAAATATACTGAAAGAACAGAGAAAGGCTGGATGGTTAATGTGAACTGTGGCAATTTGGATCTTTGCTTCAATTTTGGATCATGATCATTGTAACCTGTTTCTGTGGCATAACCAGCTCTGTTTCCTGTTTCAGTTAATGTAATATCTGCAAATTCTCTTATTTACGGCTTCATTTTCTGATGTGTTGACAGGAATTAACCCGTTCCCCTGGGATTTTGTTGGGACACCAGAAGAATCTGAGGTACAAACTGCTTGTCCACGGGATCTGCTCACACACTGTGTAATACAGATGATGATTATGAAGTTATGTTTGGCTGTATTCACTGTGGACTTTATGGAAAGGGCATAGGGGTAAAAGAGGAAAAACCGTTCCTCAAAGTGCAATCTACCCCATCTGTGTGTGATAACTGTACAAAATGTAGTGTGGTGTGGAAAGGAGAAAATCCACGAAAAGGTTCCTTAATGTTAGAAAATCTACCAGTGGCTAAGGTTAAGTCGGATACTAAAATTTAAAAGCAGGTAAATCCAATCAAAAAACACTTTGTGCATTAGCTTGTTGGTGATGGTGACATCACCATCTACTTAGTGCTACTGACTTATTCAGAGATTTTACCACACATACACACCCCACTGGAAGTTTAACTGTGTTGTCCCCTCGGTTCTTAGCTCACTGCTAGCTGTGTGCATGGAGACCTGTGATTTCCTCCCTGGTCGCAGGCATGACTTCAAACACTCGATGTCTGACATTATAACTAAGCTGTAGTGCCTCTTCACCTCACTGTGCAATACCTTTTGTGCAATACTTTTGTAAATAGTCAACGGTGCAATAGACTCAATACTTGAAATGTGCAATTCACTTGTATTTTTATTTTTATTCCTATTTATTCTATTTATCCCCTTCGTATATTTTATTTATATTGTCTCTGTATTTATATATATGTGTGTGTGTGTATAACTCTGTAACTTCTGTCGGTGCTGTGCTTTTTTGGAAATCGAATTTCCCAGAGGAACCCACCCGAGGGATTAATAAAGTTCTATCTTATCTTATCTTATCTTATCTTATCTTATCTTATCTTATCTTATAAATGGCCCCATCATCTTCATTCTGCTGTGCTAATTAGGTGTTAATAATTAGGTGTGTGTGTGTGTGAATGGATGTGTGCATGTGCGTGCTGTGCAGTCATGTCACTACAACAGTGCTCTGGGCAGCTGGCACATCAACGAAACTGTGAGTGGACAGAGCTTCTGCAGAGGGCATCGGATGTTAAAAATGCAGCCCAAAGAGTCACGCTACAGGACCTAAAAAGTGTATGTTGGTGTGTGTGTGGGTTTATGCGTGGCAATAGTAGCACCACATGCTTCTAAACAGCCACAGAGGAACAACAACCCGGGAAAGTGGGACAGAAGTCGCCGTAAGGCTGAACAAGAAGTCCAAATAAAACATTGGGGTAGTTTTTTGTTTATCTGCAAACTGCAAAAGTAACACACACATCTGTGATATTACTGAAGTGTGGGGCTGTCAAACACAAGGCCCAGGGACCAGAAATGGCCTGACAAAGACGCCAATCAGGCCCATTGGACAGCTTTGGAAAATGTGAAAGAGAGCAGAGATTTTGGACTTTTAACTGTATTTTCATAGGTTTTACAGTATTTCCTACTGATAAAGACATTGTTATTCACACTACACCAAAGTAATTGAATAATAGATAAACAATACCAATTAAACTACAAAGCTCACTGCCTTTTCTAGGCAAAACATTCTCTGTAATTTTACATATTTAATTTTTGTGCCGACTGATTTCTGTCATTTGCTACAGCAGCATTTCTTTATCGTGTAGGAAAACTGAGATTTACTGTTGAAATTGCACATTAAATGAGATTACATTTGTAATGAATTATCTTTACACAGACAGAAAGGGGAGTTTTGCTGCTTTGGCCTACTTACGATCAAAGTGAGTTTTAGGTGGACCATGATGTAAAATGAGTTTTACATCCCTGCTGCAGTGGATTCTAGTGGGAAGTAAAGTGTAAATAACCCATAGAAGAACAGAAATGAATAGAACTGAGTAGATTACTGAGTAGTTACATACCTCCAAAGTAGGAGCCATCCATCAGCTTCATGCCAATGCTTCCTTTGGTCAGGACGCTCACCACCCCGTGCTGAATGAAGTACATCTTCTTGCCAATTGTCCCCTCTCTGATGATGTAGTCTCCAGGCTGAAATACTTCAAATCTCAGTTTGGTCAGCATGGCTGTCACAAAGTTGGGATCTGCGTTGGCAAACAGCGGCATGGAGGCCACCAGCTTACGGCAGTTGAAGTTGACAATTTCCTAAATGGCAACGGGAGATACAAATGGTTAATCTGCGCAGATTTTTAGCACAGGGATTTACAGTTAAAGATACAAACACGGGTTTGGTGATAGCTGTCTGAATTAGACCATTTTATAACTAAATACATACAGAGAAGGCTGGAAGTAATCGATTTTAAACACGGGGTTACATTTTTCAGATGAAACAAGGATAAATGACTATTTTATTGAATTTATTCCATCTTATTTCATCTGTGGAGGCATGTGTGTATTCATGGGTGAGTGAGTACATCACAGAAAATGTATGGGATTTTTTTTTTTCATACCTCGCGCAGAGGCTCATTAAGCTCCTCCAGGATGCTCTCTTCATCAAACATCTTGCCCTGGTATCGGTGCTCATAGTAGTCATGGATTTTCTGTCGGAAGTCGGCTGGGAGTTTGTGGAATGACATGTACTGCTCCACTTGTTTGTACTGGAAGATGGAGAGAGGCATAGGAGAATATTAATGAGAATGAACAGAAGCATAAATCAATGAAAAGAGGATTCAGCAACTTTCTTGTTAATTTTGACACGTTGCAAAGTACGTCCGACTTTAAAGAATCACCACGGCCTTGATACAGAAGTTGCAGCAGCTGGAAAGACAATTCTCAAAAGACTGTTTCTTTGACTGTACCCATCAGCTTCAGGTGTGCATGACCAATAAAGCAACTGAGATGTACAGCGCTGCACACACAGGGATCCTATGACCTATTTATACCTGGTAGCCATGGGAAGAAAATTGTGATGAAGTAGTTAAGGAAACATGACAGCTCTGTAAAGCCCATGAGGATTCCTCCCGCTCTGATGTGTTCAGAGAAGAAGGACGCTGTGATCATACATGCCAACTAAAGCCAGTTTCTCTCTCTCTCTCTCTCTGTCTAGTGATGCTGCTTTCACAAATGCTTTTTTTTTTTTAAATGACAAATTTACAGAAAATACTATCAAGGTTTTCACCAAGGAAACGTGTTTTGTTGTTGTGCATTTCATTTTTCATGAAGAAAAAAAAAACGTGAAACAAATCTTCCATGATCTGTGAAGACTGAGGGGAAATAGGTAAATAATTAAGTGGAACTGGGCATTTGAGTGGAAAGAGTTTCTATTTAGAGAAAGGAAGATGTTTGTCACCTTTGCTTGATTAATATGTAATTATGTGGCTAGAAATAATCACGTGAAAACAGAGGTTGGCTTTGGCACATCGTGTTTGTTCACTGTAGAGTCAAATTGAACCCACTGATTCACACCATCGCGTATTCGGCACTGCAATGCTTGTCTGAAACAAATGCAGCCTGAATGTCCACTTTGTTGCTCTGTAACACATTTAATGCCTGGATTCCCTGTGAAAACAGAAGCTGCTGGACCTACTGCATAGCTTTTCCTATAATGTGAAATTGAAAGGCATGTTATTCACTGTACACAGACAGTTTTTGGATTGGCTTTACTTATTTATATCACAAATATCCATGATCCCATGGAGTTTCACATACCAGCTGTTGAGAATGGTGGGAATGAAAGAAACTGAAATCCCCCCAGCTTAGCACTCATTGCATCAGAGAAGGTAAAAAGTCGAAACATCCAGTTAAAAATGTTAAAAGTGTTTATCTATATGTGCTTTTCCTAGTAAATCATCTTTACTCTTGATCAAAGATATAACTAAAGTACAAGTCTAATACTATGATCAATGAGAAGCTTGAGTAATGAATATGTTTGCATATTTGAAATGTAAAAGATAAGAAATGTGTCTCCAGCCCATGAATACACATTATTCTGAAGTTTAACTGATCTAGCAAATAAAAAAAATATAAAAATGTATCTAATAACAGATCTCTCTTCCCTCCTTGCTGTATAAAAAATATGTAAATCTCTACACTACACACGCTATTAACACCCTGAGGGCGAAAATGTGACCATGTGATTTTGAAAAATGAGCCGATAAGATTACCCATGAAACCAGTGCAGTGCACTTCACTTCCTGTTATATCAGCAGGCACACCAACACAAAATGATGCATAAAGATGCAACATGCACACACAAAAAGGGAGAAAAAAAGACTCAAAGAAAATCATAAAGGTGGAGAATAATGTTAATGAATCTCACAGAAAAGTTGCTCTAGAACTGTAATCAATACTGGCTAAAGAGAGTATGGCCCTGTGGATGGGGTTGCTTAATGTTACATAAGGCCCCTCTCTCTTTCCCTCCCAACTTTGTGTAATAAACACTGTGAGTCACACCTCTATAGAATAAACTGTCAGTGGAATGAGTAGTAGATTTTAGCCTGACGCTCACAGTTAGATTTAAAGGACACAGCATGTATGGAGGGTCAGCAGCAGGAGCACTCACAGTGACCTTGCTTGTAGTGGTCAAAGACACATGCATTGGGAAGGATGGCTTGCTCTCCAGGAAATTACATTTTGCCACATTGTGAAGTGACATATGGCTTTGTGACTAAAACGCAGGCTTGACCCTGGTGGCATGGGTGTCACAGCAAATCACAAGATACTTTATGCAACACCTACTGTACTAGCTGTCGCAGTATGACATCATTTAACTGTTTTCTCTCCAAATATAAAGTGAATGGATTTGACAAAAACAACAACAACGACAAAAAAAACGTGGCTTTATGTAAGAATTGCAACAATGGCAGAAAGGAGTCACCTTTGGTCCTGTTTTCAGGAAAACATAATAAAGTTCTCGAGGCAGTTGGACTGTTCTAAATCCGCTCCATCTGCTATAATCCATTCACAATATTTCTGTTTATTATTTCAGAGTTCCCTAATACTCTTTCATTCTCTTTCCTTGTAACTGTCTGGTATTATACTGTTCTGCGATGCAGGTACTCCACAAATAGATACATGTACATACATATAGTAATGAATTACCTTACATAGGTACATGATAAAATATATGCCATGTCTTAGGTAGATCGCCCACTTTAATGAACAGCATAATGAAATTACACCTGCAAAAACAATTTGATGCTTCCTCCTCTTTCTTATGTAAACTAATTTTAATCTCCATCTCTTTCAGTCTTAATTAATTGCCTTGGGTCTTGGTTAATTTAGCATGAAAGGCCAGTACTAAATGAAACCTTACAGGTTGTCTTCCTCAGCCATCTGCTCAGATTTTGAGCATATGCTGAAAGTCAACACATAATCCAAACAACGACAAAATGGTATCTATAAAATGGTATATACATAATGAAGGGGGATTGAATGTGTCCTTCATGAACCTGATTTAAAAAAACGGTTTAACTTGACAAATTCCTTCCCGTTCACCATGTGTCAGTAACAATAAAGATTACGCCAACTTCCATAATATCTGACTCACTCAGTCAAGCGCAGGGATAAACGGGAAGGCTCCAATTAAGTGTTGCCTGCCCAGTGATTCAGTATGTGACAGCTTCAATTAAACTAGAATGACAACTCTCTCGCGAGCTTGCTTCCTCGTTCTCCTACTACTTGAAATTGGTTGGTGAAGAAGCCGAGCTTTACTGCCTTTCTGATTTTCGCAGCATTAGACTCAGATTAGTGACTACGTCAGTCAAAGTTAGCAGGACAGGAGTGATGTTCAAAAGGCCTCATGCTTGAAGAAAAAGATGTTTATAAGTGAACAAGAAACAATTGATGGTCTCTCATGAGGATATATTAGGAAATGATGTTGTGGAAATGCAAAAGAACAAAGGGGAAAGATGGCCGGTGGCTGTTGTTTGAACTCGGTTAATGCTGTCAATCATGCTGGATAACAGAGACAATAGAAGGTGTATGAAAATCCAAGTTCATAGCCACATCCAGTTAATGCACACTTACAAATGTAATACTTGCCACTTAAGAGAGCAAGTTTAAAAAAATTGAATACAACAGGGCTTGTTTTGTTTTCAAGTCTCAAGCAAAGATCATCATAATTTTAAAGGATTAATCACTTTCCTTGCATGTCTCTGTCAGTTTTACCTTTTTCTTTTTCTTTTTTATCCCTTATTCAACTTCTTGTGTGTATTTATAGTTCCCCTAAATATATCTGTGCATCTGTTTAAAGATTGCTCTTTCATCATTGTAATTGCCTTTGATTGTACAAACAAATACATCCACGTCAGGTGCAGATGATATGCTTCTGAATTGTAGTAATAATGGACTCTAAATTTACAAAGTGTGCCCAAGGAGAAAGATGACACTGAAATCAGGTTCTTCTGTAGGACTTGTATGAAGCAAAGTATTTTTTTTTTTATAAAATTAAGTCAGAGAGTCTGGAGGTCATAGCTGCAGAAGTTGCACAGATTTTCTATTTTTTTTGATTGGCCATAAAGCCCTAGTTGGTGGCTTGCAAGCATGATGCATGGCTGTCACTGTAAGCTGCCACAGAGGGAAAGGAGAAATTGAATTGGTGCTCGTATTAATGGGCCATGTCACTGAGAGTCATGGCATGAGATGTGACGGTCTTATATCTGTCTGTGTGTGAGCTGTTCTAAGTCTATAAAACCTAAGTCAATTTCAGCTGTACCCTTTTAGCTTTTGACTGAAGAGTGGAGACAGACCCATGGGTTATTATCATTATTACTGTTACTATAATAATAGATTTTAACATATTTCAAAAATTACACCGATAACACTGATTTCTTAATGGCACATAAGACTAACAAAATAGGATTACACATGATTATATCAAAGGATATAATTTACATTTTGACACAGATTCGCACCGCCTTCATGGATTTTTACACAAGTTTAGGTGTATTCATGGATGTTTAATTGATTACAGAAAGACTTTAACACGGAACCAGCAGAAGTCGCTGTTTAGCCAAACATTCGATAATGAGCGTCAACTGCAAAGGAGAGTCTGGCATTTCTCACTTTAAGCCTTGAGAAGTGTCTGTGAGCTCCACAAAGGGCAAGTAAGTGGATGCTAAGTAAAAATATTTTTGGGGGTCAAACTTCAGATAATGTAGATCTGATCTATCACATGCAAGAGATGGGTCCCAAGTTGTCCAGGTCAGGACTCAATTGATTGTCTAGGTTATAAAGTGAGTAGTTCTTGAAGTCGCTGTTTGATGTGTTAAGGCCAAGTGCATCTCTGCTCATCATGTGAGTCCCCAGGGGTCACATCTTCCTCCTCTCACCACTGTTTGGACACACTGCTCCGTGGCTCTTTAGGGGAGGAAGTGATGGGGTAGGAGGAGAGGGAGTACAGTTACATAAGGGCTAATGCCCTCTGTCCATGTGCGGTGTCCACTACCAGATGGTGTATTGCCCAACAGTCAAGGGCGAATGGACACATAAAACAGGGGAGAGATGGAAGAATGAAGACGGGAAGAGGGTTTTCAAAGATCCAGGGTCCAAGCACCAAAAGAACACTTCATGATATTTGACACTGTAAAAGTCAAAAGAATATCATCTAACAATTAAATAAAAAATTAAAACATGTTCTAAAATATTTATATTCTAC